AGGTCAAATGTTTTCTGTAAGTCTTCACAAGGTTTTCACACACTGTTGCTGGTATTTTGGCCCATTCCTCCATGCAGATCTCCTCTAGAGCAGTGATGTTTTGGGGCTGTCGCTGGGCAACATGGACTTTCAACTCCCTCCAAAGATTTTCTATGGGGTTGAGATCTGGAGACTGGCTAGGCCACTCGAGGACCTTGAAATGCTTCTTACGAAGCCACTCCTTCGTTGCCCGGGCGGTGTTTTTGGGATCACCGTCATGCTGAAAGACCCAGCCACGTTTCATCTTCAATGCCCTTGCTGATGGAAAGGAGGTTTTCACTCAAAATCTCACGATACATGGCCCCATTCATTCTTTCCTTTACACGGATCAGTCGTCCTGGTCCCTTTGCAGAAAAACTGCCCCAAAGCATGATGTTTCCACCCCCATGCTTCATAGTAGGTATGGTGTTCTTTGGATGCAACTCAGCATTCTTTGTCCTCCAAACACGACGAGTTGAGTTTTTACCAAAAAGTTCTATTTTGGTTTCATCTGACCATATGACATTCTCCCAATCCTCTTCTGGATCATCCAAATGAACTCTAGCAAACTTCAGACGGGCCTGGACATGTACTGGTTTAAGCAGGGGGACACGTCTGGCACTGCAGGATTTGAGTCCCTGGCGGGGTAGTGTGTTACTGATGGTAGGCTTTGTTACTTTGGTCCCAGCTCTCTGCAGGTCATTCACTAGGTCCCCCCGTGTGGTTCTGGGATTTTTGCTCACCGTTCTTGTGATCATTTTGACCCCACGGGGTGAGATCTTGCGTGGAGCCCCAGATCGAGGGAGATTATCAGTGGTCTTGTATGTCTTCCATTTCCTAATAATTGCTCCCACAGTTGATTTCTTCAAACCAAGCTGCTTACCTATTGCAGATTCAGTCTTCCCAGCCTGGTGCAGGTCTACAATTTTGTTTCTGGTGTCCTTTGACAGCTCTTTGGTCTTGGCCATAGTGGAGTTTGGAGTGTGACTGTTTGAGGTTGTGGACAGGTGTCTTTTATACTGATAACAAGTTCAAACAGGTGCCATTAATACAGGTAACGAGTGGAGGACAGAGGAGCCTCTTAAAGAAGAAGTTACAGGTCTGTGCGAGCCAGAAATCTTGCTTGTTTGTAGGTGACCAAATACTTATTTTCCACCATAATTTGCAAATAAATTCATTAAAAATCCTACAATGTGATTTTCTGGATTTTTTTTCCTCAATTTGTCTGTCATAGTTGACATGTACCTATGATGAAAATTACAGGCCTCTCATCTTTTTAAGTGCGAGAACTTGCACAATTGGTGGCTGACTAAACACTTTTTTCCCCCCCACTGTACATGTTTGGGAAGCTTTTAAAGCTTTCATACGCGGAGTAATGCTACAACGATCAGCTACTATTAAGAAATGATACTAGGGCTGACTCCATTTAGTCGACTGGTCGATTGTTTGTTCGATAGGCTGTTGGTCGACCGAGATTTTAGTCGAGCGGTCGCAAATTGTGTAATATATATATAGTTGGAGTCATTAAAAGTTGGTTTTCAACCACTCCAAATTTCTTTTTAACAAACTATAGTTTTGGCAAGTCGGTTAGGACATCTACTTTGTGCATGACAAGTAATTTTTCCAACAATTGTTTACAGACAGATTATTTCACTGTATCACAATTCCAGTGGGTCAGAAGTTTACATACACTAAGTTGACTGTACCTTTAAAACAGCTTGGGAAATTCCAGAAAATGATGTAATTCCTTTAGAAGCTTCTGATAGGCTAATTGACATCATTTGAGTCAATTGGAGGTATACCTGTGGATGTACAGTGAGGAGAACAAGTATTTGATACATTGCCGATTTTGCAGGTTTTCCTACTTACAAAGCATGTAGAGGTCTGTAATTTAATCACATTGTATGATTTTTAAGTAATTAATTAGCATTTTATTGCATGACATAAGTATTTGATACATCAGAAAAGCAGAACTTAATATTTGGTACAGAAACCTTTGTTTGCAATTACAGAGATCATACGTTTCCTGTAGGTCTTGACCTGGTTTGCACACACTGCAGCAGGGATTTTGGCCAACTCCTCCATACAGACCTTCTCCAGATCCTTCAGGTTTCGGGGCTGTCGCTGGGCAATACGGACTTTCAGCTCCGTCCAAAGATTTTCTATTGGGTTCAGGTCTGGAGACTGGCTAGGCCACTCCAGGACCTTGAGATGCTTACGGAGCCACTCCTTAGTTGCCCTGGCTGTGTGTTTCAGGTCGTTGTCATGCTGGAAGACCCAGCCACGACCCATATTCAATGCTCTTACTGAGGGAAGGAGGTTGTTGGCCAAGATCTCGCGATACATGGCCCCATCCATCCTCCCCTCAATACGGTGCAGTCGTCCTGTCCCCTTTGCAGAAAAGCATCCCCAAAGAATGATGTTTCCACCTCCATGCTTCACGGTTGGGATGGTGTTCTTGGGGATGTACTCATCCTTCTTCTTCCTCCAAACACAGCGAGTGGAGTTTAGACCAAAAAGCTCTATTTGTCTCATCAGACCACATGACCTTCTCCCATTCCTCCTCTGGATCATCCAGATGGTCATTGGCAAACTTCAGACGGGCCTGGACATGCGCTGGCTTGAGCAGGGAGACCTTGCGTGCGCTGCAGGATTTTAATCCATGACGGCGTAGTGTGTTACTAAGGGTTTTCTTTGAGACTGTGGTCCCAGCTCTCTTCAGGTCATTGACCAGGTCCTGCCGTGTAGTTCTGGGCTGATCCCTCACCTTCCTCATGATCATTGATGCCCCACGAGGTGAGATCTTACATGGAGCCCCAGACCGAGGGTGATTGACCGTCATCTTGAACTTCTTCCATTTTCTAATAATTGCGCCAATAGTTGTTGCCTTCTCACCAAGCTGCTTGCCTATTGTCCTGTAGCCCATCCCAGCCTTGTGCAGGTCTACAATTTTATCCCTGATGTCCTTACACAGCTCTCTGGTCTTGGCCATTGTGAGAGGTTGGAGTCTGTTTGATTGAGTGTGTGGACAGGTGTCTTTTATACAGGTAACGAGTTCAAACAGGTGCAGTTAATACAGGTAATGAGTGGAGAACAGGAGGGCTTCTTAAAGAAAAACTAACAGGTCTGTGAGAGCCGGAATTCTTACTGGTTGGTAGGTGATCAAATACTTATGTCATGCAATAAAATGCAAATTAATTACTTAAAAATCATACAATGTGATTTTCTGGATTTTTGTTTTAGATTCCGTCTTTCACAGTTGAAGTGTACCTATGATAAAAATTACAAACCTCTACATGCTTTGTAAGTAGGAAAACCTGCAAAATCGGCAGTGTATCAAATACTTGTTCTCCCCACTGTATACATACACCACTTTTTTTATTATATTTTTTGTCATTTAGCAGACGCTCTTATCCAGAGCGACTTACAGGAGCAATTACGGTTAAGTGCCTTGCTCAAGGGCACAGACAGATTTTTCACCTAGTCGGCTCGGGGATTAGAACCAGCGACCTTTCGGTTACTGGCACTACGCTCTTAACCACTAAGCTTCCTGCCGCTACCTGTGTGTGTGTATATACACATACATACATATATACACATATATACACACACACACACATACATACATACATATATACACACTTATTTTTTTTTTAAGGTGTGTATGGTTCTCCATCAATCCCTGATTCAGAATATACCATATTCATATTCATGGCATGTTTGGTTCAATAGCTATTGACGAGAGAAAACCGAATATCGAATATAAACCTAATTTTATCTCGGTGTTAAATAATTGATTCTACAAAGCGAATGTGAAGACTTCGGTTCAGACTCAAGACAGCCCATAATGGCATACAAGGGTCTGCTTCATGAGCGTCACGTTTGCTTTGAAGAATCAATCACTAGTCGACTGAGATTACCGTATGCACACAAAATCCAAAAGGCAGCAATTAACAATGGTTTTGTTTAACCTTAGCGAGTCTCTCGTGCACTGGTATTTTTTGTAGAGCGTGTCGTGGTGGCACATAAGGTTACTGTACCACCTAACTAGCTGGCGAAGCACCCTCAGTCAAATCACAAGTAATGCTTTGAATGCTAACCTACAATGTTAAGTTACTGTTAGCTAATTAACACAATATTAAATTGTAGACTACTAACGTTACTAGTTTATCCGGCATCGCGCTGGCTGGCTAGCTAACCCACTCATTTGCTTGAGAACGTGTATTCTTGAGGCTAGCTATTTCAAATGGCTGTGCCTGAACAACAACTTGGATGTGCCAGACTACATTACCACGAAATTCGCAAAATTGCACAGAGACAACATGATTTGGTACCGTATACAGTAGCTAGCTAACTAGCTCTTACCTTTGTATTTTGTCCAAAATCCTCTGCTCTTCAATCTGAAACAGCCCCTTGTTTTTACCACTTTGACATCTCACCACGCGCTGCTGCAGACCCACGCCTGTTTATTTGGGGCGATGCTTTAATTGGCTATTTACGCGACGACACAACCATGCAAAGATTTTCATTGAACATACTCGTTGTCAATCAATTTAGCAGCTAGGTTTCCCGCGCCCACCTGTGATTTCGTAATCCCTTTTACTGCAATCAGTCAAATCATATTTGAAACTCTCAAATCTGCTGTTTAGCCTATATATACTGCTGTCGACTTGCTCACGTAGCCTTCAACCATCGTGATTACCTGCAGTGCTGTTGTACCAATTCAATTTTCGATTCAGTAAGATTATTCAGCCATTACCTGATTGGTAGCTTCTATTTATTTGTGTGATGAAACACATTTACATTACATTTTTAGTCATTTAGCAGACGCTCTTATCCAGAGCGACTTACAGGAGCAAGTAGGGTTAAGTGCCTTGCTCAAGGGCACATCGACATATTTTTCACCTAGTAGGCTCGGGGATTAGAACCAGCGACCTTTCGGTTACTGGCACAACGCTCTTACCCACTAAGCTACCTGTCGCAAACGTTACTTTGATTTCATGCGGTGGCTACATTGTTGTTGGCTTGAAGATGATTCTAACGAAAGCGTAGGGCAGTAGCTACTGCTCTTGTTATTTCTGACTGTGTCATGTCGAAGGCATACTCATCAAATTACCTCCAGTGTCATTGTTATAAATATACACATAACGTCACTGTACCAAGAGTCAGAAGGGGGCTCAGTTGACTTTAATGATGAAGCTACATCAATGCTTTTGGACAGTGAAGACACCAATATATTTGATTATACATCAATACAATTGAACATTGGTGATTTTCCTATACAAAAGCAATTACAATCCCAAATCACTGATGCTTAAAGTGCAGGGGGCAACATGTCCCAGGGAAGGCTAGAAGAGACAATAATAAAATCCATCTTATTACTATCGCACATTATCCTGTCAATCATTATTCTTTGTTCACAATGATTGGCCTGTGTACCATGATGAACAGTGTGGAGTAGTTGGGGTGTAGTTGACAGTGCTTTAGTTTGAAAGGCTCAACACCACTCAGTCTTTCAGAACCAGGGGTGCTTTGACAGTAGCAACAACCTCAGCCCCCATGAGCTCCTCTACAATGGCCAGGGCAAACTCAAAGCTGGTTCCTGGCCCACGGCTGGTAATCAGATGGCCATCCTTCTGGACTCGAGCCTCAGAATACTTGTAGTGGCCTAGGGAGGGAGAGGGACAGTGGTGAATAGAGAGATAAACACTATTGTATAATACTCTGCAAATGGGGATTATTTAGTACCACTTGTTCAAATCAAGTTATTCATCTTTGGTTTAATCTTTTTATTACATAATTTAACTTTTGTATATGCAGTCTTTATTTTTGAAGTATTTATGTTGGTGTGTTTACTGTTTGAATCCGATCAAATGCTGGTGCATAATGACCTTGTACTGATGATTATCATAAAGTATGAAACGTGTTACAGCACCCTCTGCTGGACACGAAGGACCACAATCATTTGTCACCACTGTTCAGTAGTACTTGGGATGTGCTCATTGTGCTGCAATAATATGCTGCATTTCCTGCCACACTGAGCCTGCTGAGTCATCATACAGGAAGATTTCCTACATGTGGCTGTATTTTGTGTAACATCCAACTAACAAGAACCACAGTGGCTATGAACTAGCTATACAGTGCATAGATTCATCAACCGGAACTTTACCTCCAGTCATCATCTTGTCCTTGGCACCAGGGTGGGTGGTGACTGTGCTGCCGTAGGCAATACCATGTGCCAGGAGCGCTGTGGGACCTGAGGTGAGGAGGGGACAGGAGAGTTAGAACAACATATTTCTCTCTGTATTCATTTCAAACTGTTCAAAACAGACATGGCACTCTCTGGACAACAAAAGATGTCAAATTATTCCTTCTCAAAAACCCAGAGGTGTCACAATCAATACATCTTAACTTTTGTTTGACTGTTCCATTGAGGTGACATCACCTCTAAAAGTCAGACTCATTAGTAGATATCACACTACCATAAAATATGATCTAAAATTAACCACATAGCGTATATGGTTTCAATCCACCTCTGCACGCCATATTTAGAGGAAGGGAAAAACAGAGACAAAAAATAATGGACTTTATGTCTGCTGCATTAACATTGGCAACGTCCTAGCACTGCAGTAAGCTCATCCTCAGACTGTTAATAAATAGAAAGCTATTGATCATGCTCATTGGCTGCCTTCCCATGCAGTCTAAAGATTACACTCCTCTCTGGCAGGCAGAGTGGGGGCCTGCCAGTTAAGTAGAGCCCAGCTCCTCCTGTTACAGGCCTGCCTCCGCTCCGTCCTGAGGACACCAGGCTGGACAAACGACCGTCTCCGGAGACAGAGCGCTTGGCCAGGGCTGGGACAGAGGGAGGCAGTGCATCCCTCTATCGGATGACTCCTGGCTTATTATTATTATTATTATTATTATAATCATCATCATAATGCACAAACATATGGTCTTCCACAACACACTGATTTTGTTCAGAAAGATGAGAATATGAAATGGGAGACCGGAGGGTCTACGGCATTACCTGCTATACATGGAGTAATTGAGTCAAGCACTTTTCACACCTCTGTTCACATTAGAAATAGAAAGCATTATTTTCACATCTATTTTAGTAGAGCACAATGCGACGCTGCTGCTGGTCCTCTGATTGGCAGATTCATTCTATATTCCTGTGGGGACATCAGATGTTTTCTAGGACGCCCTTCACTCTGCTCTACCACATGGGTCCCATGTCCTCATTCACAACATCCTTCTAGTGCCCTTCATCAGCACAGGCAGGCAGAAAATCTCAGTGGTAGTGGGCTTTGTCAGTGGCACTAATATGTCGTTCTATCATAATCTAATTGTGTATTGGTTTCCCGCTTCCTAATAATGGAAAGGCGATGTGACAGCCCACTAAGTCCCAATCTTATACTACACTCACTGTCTGACAGAAATCGCTGGTTGCAGATTTAACTCAAGATTAGGATCTAAGCAATCTTCCCCCTGCTGTGTTCATTGACACAGATACATCCTGGAGTGTGTGAGCTGCAATGTAATGTAGAGGTGGATTTGTGCGTTCTCACAGAAGGAACAGTACCTGCACAGATGGCAGCGATCAGCCCTTTCCTGTCCTCCTGGTCCTTCAACACCTCTTTCACAGCAGGGGACTACAAGAAAAACAACATGGAGGCCACATACAGAGAGATGAGTCACTCTACACTCATACAGAAAGTGTGTTATAACACTGACTTTTCAGTAAATGCGGCTTTGCTAGAGGGATTAAGAATGGACAGTCTGATAAATCTTGAGGGCAATAGATGAGTCATTGTTTCCAGCATGACTGAAAAACAATTTAAAGTTATTGAGGGACAACTTTCACAGAGCATGTAGATGTAAGGGCTAAAACCATAAATGTAATGAAGCATCACATTGTCATACTGTATAATTTTATATTTGCTTGTTTTTAATCAACAAGAATAATCATAAGAGCATACCAAGTAAATTATATTTTAAATGTAGGTAAATTATAGTTTATGAAAATATATTTGTATAGTTTTCTATGGTTAGTTGTCCACCAAAACATTACCAAGAGACAAATGTTACAGTATCTACCTGCAACATTATATTGACAATGTCAGGGACACACAGGAGAGATTAATCTGCAGCTAAAACTTTTTGCAATGAATGCCAAACATTAAGTGCATCCCTACCTCTGACAGGTTCTGGGCACCGAGAGCTCCCCCTGGCAGAAGAACCACATCATATGGACCCTGCATCAAAAGATACAAGGTCACGGATAACACATTTATAGTACCAATTTCAGATGCATCAACCGTACATTAATCAATGAATAAAGTTTTAAAGTGGGAAAACATTTGATTCAGAATGCATTGTAAACTTTATGCAGTCAGAGAACAGCCTGCTGTGTGGACTAATGTGACTGCAGGGTGTGGCGGCAGGACCTGACCTGCTTGCGGGCATCCTCCAGGCTGGCATCAGGAACAAGGTAGACATCTCTGCTGCACTGCACAGGCTCTTTGCCTGTCAACCCTGCCAACGTCACAGCAATCTGCAGGATGTGGACACAAACAAAAACACAACTACTTCAATGACCATCAGCAGACATTGCCCCTTAACCATAAAATCCCAATAATCAAAGGAGTATGGGACTTTTAATTTGAAAAACTCTGCTTCCTATCCTATAGTAGTTACAGCACAGTCACCTTTGACATTTGCAGTGGCCTTTTACTCACCTTACATGTTTTGTATGTGCCAACACACTAGCTAGACCATGACAACACATTAACTCACTTATTAACCATAGATAAAACTGCATACTGTAGAGTTGTTCATTATGCCTGTTATATCTGGCCAGCTAAGGTAGATAATAATACATAGTTAAGTGCAACATAAAGCTAGCTTACCTGCTAGACTTGTTCTATCTGTGCTGTAGCTACCTACATTGCTAGCTAGAGCAAAAAAAATAGATCAGCATGCATGTGTCAAACTAACTTGGACTGCAGCTTCAACTTGACTGTGTCTAGGTAAATCAAATATCTGCTAAAATATTAGCTAGCTAATGTGCAGCTTTTAGTAAGCTCAATTTACTATATCAGTGTTTGTTGTACGCAACCAACTTAGCTAGCTCGATAAGTTTACTAACCCCAGCTCTACGCATTATGTCCACAGGTATAACCGTTTCCATCTCTTCTGCACCTTTAGAGAGGATCACTAATGCCTTTTTTCCTGCCATTCTTGAGCGAGTGGGTGTGCGACTGTCAGCAACAGGAAAGCAAATGTTTGTGAGAGGACCTTTATTTTGACAGGAACACACCGCTACACGTACAGCTACGGATTCGTTGAGAGGACAAACAATACGCTTGGTTGAACTTATCAAAGAATTTCACATAATTTATTAGACCAATCAAACAACGTATAGCATATTCGTAGGCATTTGTTATGCAGAGTGTACGATAATACATTTCATTTAAATATGATGCAACATAATTCACTTTAAAATGCAACATATCTGAACTGGTAGGTTAAAGTACATCCACCAGGGGGAGGTATTGACCCATACATTGTCAATAAAACTACTGTAAACATAGGTGTTTATAAAACAAGCCTTCACTTTCTATCCTTTGTTTGCCCCAACATCATTTTTTTCCAAAATAATCTTACAAGTGCGATTGAGGTTTATATTATTTAATACATTATTCAAAACCTTAATGTTTATTATACATTAGTTAAAAGATCTGAAAGAAAACTAGTTCAAACTAAAATGTGATTTTCTCAATTCCTAGATTTTCTGAAATGAAGAATGAAGGTCACTAAATACTTGAAGCTCTGTCTAAGAACTTCTGCATCAAATCCCTCTCAGCAGAAGAAGACATCTCTTAAAGCACCTCAGGGAATTATATTCCAGTGTAAATCCCAGATTTAATGTCTGGGGCTTTAGTGTGCAGACACTCTTCCCAGTTTAATGTGCCACTGTGCATTTTATTGCAGAGATTCACTTTCACATTTGTGCGAAAAACAAGATCCCAGTGAAACAGCAGATTAGACAAATATAGGGGATGCTGGCGGCAGTTTGTTTGTTGCGAGCCTGTGAGCCAATCCAAAAGGCAGCGGTGATTACCGACATATGCAGCTGGGATCAACTGAGCCAGACTCACAGTGGTACACAAGCTCATTTGCTAAAACATGGATTTATTTATCCATTTACTTATTTCTTTACAGAAGGAGCTCATAGTATGTTTATGATCAAATTTAGGACACGCCTGTTAGAGTGACTTGCAATCCAGGTAACCTAGTAAAAAAGTGGATAAGTCTGAAACACTGACTATGCAAATTCGGGCTCTGAGTCATCTGTGCAAGGCTACAGCTACTCAAATATTGCAGAGCAGACACGTCTTTCCTGATTTTATAACTTTCTGAAGTAAGCTTTTGTTGTTTATTAGAGCTATCTTTTGCAAAGTATAATTGTGCAAAACAAGAGGTCTTCAAATACTGCTTTAATTTTCTCATCAAACATTTCCCAATTGTCAGTCAGCTCTGGAAAGGGAAATGTGAAAATGGCCATTGACACTGGATTCCCCCCAACATTATGTTCCTCCAACACAAAAGGATACTACTTTAAACCATATTTAACGCCTAAAATCTGCTATGAAAAAATAGTAACAAGGGATGTGAACAAGTGTCAGGCCTTTTGATCCTCTATTGGCAGAACTACAAAATATATATACACTGAACAAAAATATAAATGCAACATGCAACAATTTTACTGAGTTACAGTTCATATAAGGAAATCAGTCAATTGAAATAAATTCATTAGGCCCTAATCTATGGATTTCAAATGACAGGGAATACAGATATGCATCTGTTGGTCACAGATACCTTTAAAAAAGGTAGGGGCGTGGATCAGAAAACCAGTCAGTATCTGGTGTGACCTCCATCTGCCTCATGCAGCGTGACACATCTCCTTCGCATAGAGTTGATCAGGCTGTTGATTGTGGCCTGTGGAATGTTGTCCCACTCCTCTTCAATGGCTGTGCAAAGTTGCTGGATATTGGCGGGAACTGGAACACGCTGTCGTACACGTCGATCCAGAGCATCCCAAACATGCTCAATGCGTGACATGTTTGGTAAGTATGCAGTCCATGGAAGAACTGGGACATTTTCAGCTTCCAGGAATTGTGTACAGATCCTTGCGACATGGGGCTGTGCATTATCATGCTGAAACATGAGGTGATGGCAGCGGATGAATGGCACGACAATGGGCCTCAGGATCTCGTCGTGATCTCTCTGTGCATTAAAATTGCCATCAATAAAATGCAATTGTGTTCATTGTCTGTAGCTTATGCCTGCCCATACCATAACCCCACCTCCACCATGGGGCACACGCCCACACAACGCCATACACGCTGTCTGCCATCTATCCGGTACAGTTGAAACCGGGATTCATCCATGAAGAGCACACTTCTCCAGCATGCCAGTGGCCATCAAAGATGAGCATTTGCCCACTGAAGTCGGTTACGAAGCCAAACTAAAGTCAGGTCAAGACCCTGGTGAGGAAGACGAGCACGCAGATTAACTTCCCTGAGACGGTTTCTGACAGTTTGTACAGAAATTCTTCGGTTGTGCAAACCCACAGTTTCATCAGCTGTCCGGGTGGCTGGTCTTAGACGATATGCCACACCTGTCAGGTGGATGGATTATCTTGGCCAAAGAGAAATACTCACTAACAGGGATATGGCCCAGCGTCGTCCAGGGTAGGGGAGGGAATGGCCGGCAGGGGATCTGCTAAATGACTAAAATGTAAATGTAAATGTAATATAAACAAATTTGTGCATAACATTTGAGAGAAATAGGCTTTTTGTGCATATGGAACATTTCTGGGATCTTTTATTTCAGCTCATGAAACATAGGACCAACACTTTACATGTTGCATTTACATTTTTGTTCAGTGTATATATAATCTTTTTTGTTGTTGTTATTTTTGAGATTTCTCTTGCTCTGGTGTTCTGCTCATTGGGCCACAGATGAGATCTTCTTGTCGATGTCTGTTAGAGGAACAGGAGCCTGAGTGTTGATCAGTGAACTCAAGCTTTTTATTATTCCCCAGAGAGTTCTGCCTCCTGCATGCCAGGCAATGCCAGGCCTTCACTCTGCTCTGCTTTATCTGGCACACCACAGAGGTCTACTCACAAACCTGAAGGGCTTCTGGAATCCAACCACTGGGGATTCTACACTACAGAATAATTTTCAGAAAGAAAAAAAACGAAATCCGCTGACAGAAATGAGGGAATTCCACAAATTACTGTTTGTCACAAAGTAATCCTGTTACCATTGCTCTGAATATGAAACGGTGTAAACATGGAAATAAACTCGTTTCTGCGACATAAATGTACATGCAAAGGCCCTGTTCGGTTAAGATACACAGCAGCAAACCTTGCTTCAGATACTCAGGAAAGAGGTGTCACTACTCAGTATGGTCACAGTAAAATTGGCTCTATGGGGAGAGATTAAAACATTTGAGAAGAGTTTTGAAAATACATTGAATTGCTACATTTCTGTCATAGTGTGATGGTGTGATTCAGATCATACATCCACTACTCTATGGTAACTACTCTTGGTCCCATTCAGGTAGAGCCAGTTCTGAAGGGCCTGTACCACTACAGTTGAATATGGGATGAATATTTAGGGACATTTTATCTGCCGATCTGTGCACAAGCTTTATCTTGTGTCTGTTTCACGCATTGTGAGCCTCCGAGAGCAGGCAATGAGTGACAAGCATATAATCTTGATTGCATCTCGATGATATTACCTTATGCTGCCAAGTGCTCAGGTGACAGCTGGAGGCATGTGTGTGGAGGGATCTGGGGAACAAGGTGACAGTGAGTGCATTTTAAACACCTGGATTAGCAGATGGCCATTCAACAGACACAAGAAGGTGCCAGCTCAGTAACTTCAACTTTCAACAAGGAACCTCGATTTCAGGGAACTTGGATTTCAGAACTTCCATATTGTCAGTCTGCAGTCCAATGGATACTATAAAAGAAAACTAATTTCACTCCCTTGGTCTAACAAAAGTTAAAAACAGCAAATTGTACCACTGACATAACTTATTTTCCAAGCTTTTATGTTCTCAAAGATATCCATGTAAATCCAGTTGAGAACATGTTGTTTACATCCAACAGAGACAATATCGCAAATTGAGGCAGCAGCTCATGAATGTGCTATTTTGATTAGAGTGTGTGTAATAACTCAAACACACAATTGCCCTAGAGCCATTTATGGTTGCAATATTCTCCCTGCCTTCAGACTATGCCCCCTCCCAAACTATTTTGAGGAGGGTACAAGTGACACTGCCTATCTCACAACCCCCCCCCCCTCCCCCACCCCTCTCTTTCTATCCCCCTTTTTCTGTAGTCTCTCTTTCTGTTAGTGTCTATATCTCTTTCTCTGCCTCCATTAGATCCCCTAATGCCATGCAGCATGGCCTATCTTCAAACACTAATGCTGATGACTGGTCCCTGTAGCGGTACCCCCCACCCCCAGCCACCCCCAGCCACCCCCAGCCTGCTCCTCCACAGAGAGGGTAATAAAGACACAGGCAGGATTAGTGTTTCGTGCCTACCGAAGTGGTGACAGAGAGAGAGGCCATGCCCACTGGCTGCTCCCCGACCCTGCTCTGCTCTGCTGGGGTCTCCCCTGCCTGTGCTTCCCTCAGGTCTGCTCTCTCTCCTCTCTCACGGGGTGCTCTGTGTCTCGCTGATAGACTCTGAGTGGGTGCATTCATAATATTCACATTAGATAAGCACAGAGTGACAGTAGTCTTAAGTGGCTTAAGTACTGTAAGTATCTACCCTTAGCCAAGTAAATGTACTGTATGTGAAAACAATTTTATTCTCCATTCGCAAGAGTTTCAAGGATTTCTGACAACATTCTCCCCGTGCAATGAGAAAGAATGTTTGAATTAATGTGCAGTTAAAAAAAATAAATCATATTAGACTGTACATATAGTTGAAGTACATAGCTGTTTGCTGGTAACCTGGTGACTGGAGGTCATGAGGCCTATGTTTATGCGTATCATTCTTAAATCACTGTGGACTTAAACAAATGGAATACCATATAATTCTACATGTCTGCAAAACAGTGGGACTGGGATCTTGTAAATGTTGTCACATTAGATAAGTGTTACATGTGAGATTCCTTTGATTGTACACATATGAAGGTGCAGGCCTATGAAAAGGGAAGAGCCAGTGTTGATGGAGAGCCGTGTACAGGACAGGACAGGTGAACCATGCAGCTGCTGCTTCCCCTGTCACTCCCCAAAAACACAGTGTGACCG